TTGTTGTTGTTGTTGTTGTTTCTCACATTAGCTCTATAGTCCACAAAAAATGGGGAGCCCGTGGTCTCAAAACCCGGCACATACGACGCCGCGAGAAAACAAAAAACAAAAATAGGATACAAACCACTCGGAAAAAGAAAACAAAACGATCGAAAGAAGGAAAAGAACAGGTATCGCACCTACTGTTCGAGAAAAGAGCCCTCGGACACCAATCAAAATAAAACAAAACAAAAATAACAAAAAAAATAAAAATAAAGGAGGACGCTTCCCACACCCGCCGAAAGAAAAAATGAAAGGGTAACGTAACGTACCAGCACCAGGCACTGCGCACCAGGGCATGGGCTGTCTCTTATACACATCTAGATGTGTATAAGAGACAGGGTTATGTGCCTGATCGTGGAAGACCCCTTCAATGTGGAACGATTCTTAGCTATTGTCGATATTTTCACTGCGTGCCTAACACAGACGATCGGGAGAGGTTCGGGTGATTGTCCATTGCAATCATGGCTTTGGTTGGTTGTTCTTTTTCACTGTACGTCCGCAGACACATTCTGACAGCACTTCAGACAGCAGCTTTGTGCCCCGCCAGCTTCTTGTTCCATGCCTACCATGGTGTTTTTGTACAGACAGCACTTCAGACAGCAAGTATGCTGTAGTCGGCAATCATTCGTTTTGGTACAGAGTGGGACAGGTAGGGGGTGATGTTACTGTAGTCGAACGGTGAGACGGACGTGTAGTTCAGTTCTTGGCACGCGTACGGTGCTGCAGGGATTATATATATATATATATAGGTGTATAGTAGTACCTCTTCGGGCTCTTGGATACCTTTTTCTTGCTACGTGTGCGTGTTCTTTAGATCCTCAGATGGCTCTAGCACTTTCGTGACCACGGGCTGAGAGTCTTTGCTAGATTTTGGCATTTAGCAACTGGCATACGGTTTAATGTGAAGTCAACAACTGATCGAACACTCAACATGGTTGATTCTCATGGTCGCAGGCTACTTTACCCAGAAATATGCACTCGAAAAAACTGGCCCCGAGGGGTCCGCAAGTCAACAGAAATCAACGACAGATATTCTGGAGTCCTCCACTCCCTCTGCACGCTATGCGAGGTAACAACTGAGACTAGGAGTCACCATCAGGGGCCGGAGAGAAAGACGAAACCCCCTTGTTTCAATATTAGTACTTCACAACGGAAGCAGAGACAAGGCCATCTGGTACTGGGGCCCTGCCCAATAATCAGTGACATCTTCGATTTCTTTTTTCGAATTTCAACGGAATAGCGGTCTGAACGAGGGCCACCCTCAGGGGTTCAAGTCTCGGAACATTTTTTCCTCTTTTTCGCCTGCAGCAGGTGGTGTTTCCGGTCTGTCGAGGGTTTGTTTTGTTTGTTGTTTTTCTGTGAATTCGTTCTTACTTTATTCGCTCCATAGACCACCGAAATGGGGAGCCCGTCGTCTCAAAACCCGGCACATACGCCGCCGCGGGGGAAAAAAACAGAAATAGGGTACAAACCACTCGAAAACGAAAACAAAATGATGGGAGTAGAAAGGAAAGAACAGGTACCACCGCACCGACCGTTCGAGAAAAGAGCCGTCGGAAACCGACCAAAATAAAACATTGTCGATCCATCTTTGTTTGTTGTTGTCTTCACATTGAACCGTATGTCAGTTGCTAAATGCCAAAATCTAGCAAAGACTCTCAGCCCGTGGTCACGAAAGTGCTAGAGCCATCTGAGGATCTAAAGAACACACATAACGAGAAAAAGGTATCCAAGAGCCCGAAGAGGTACACCTAAAAATCCCTGCAGCACCGTATGAATATCACACAACAAATCCATCTTCATCTATATATAGAAATATGTCCAAATTCAGAAAAAACAAAAACAAAGGGAGACGCTTCCCACACCCGCCGAAAGAAAAAATCAAAAGGTAATGTACCCGCACCAAGCACTAACTAAGCACATATGGGTGCATGTCTTACGTGCCTACGCATGTGTGCACATAACTTTTGGCGTGGTGGCCAATGTTCTTTCTACAAGTCAACCCGCCCGTGCATCGCGTATGACATCAAATTCATTGCGTCATCAGGGGCCATCCAGCCATAACCACTGGTCAAGAATTCTTGCATCACAATCAAATCCCGTCCTCTGTCGGCCTAGGTGGCACGAAACCCACAGGATTTCGGTCCTTCGCGTTTGCCCTTTGGTCAGGATCCAGCTTGCTTGCCGGTGTCTACATCTGTACCGCCAAGTTCGGTAGAGTGTTTGGGGTCATCTCCGTCTGGAGAACACGCCCGGTCCCACCTTCCTCCGCAATTTCGTTTGGCGCGCCGGATCTTGCTGGTGGTATACTGATGTACTTTACTGGTGGTCTACAAAAAAACGTACGCACAACCCAGCCCGTAGCATCAACACATGGCCACCTGATCAACATCAAGGAACACAAAAAAAATATCACGCCACGGGCAGCCTCGTAGGGACCGGAACGGCGTCATCCGCTGTAAGGATGTCAACTACTGGTGGTGCTATTGATGCTGGCGCTGTTGCTCCAAGGGGTGGTGCTCCTACGGCCGGGCTTGACCTCCCCGACAGCGAGTCAGATGCATTCCCCACTCGTTTGGTGATCATCCTGGCGCTGGCAATGACGGTCCATTCGTATGCTTTGGTCTCTCTCTTTCCGTACGTCGGGATGATGGTGAGCGATCTGCTGAGCTTGGAAACTCTCAACGAAGCAGGTGTGTAGCGAATATGTAGCAGCCTGGCAGTTTCGCCGGGATTGGAGATGGAACTGGAGTGCTTTCAGAAAGATGCACCTGGATCACAACGTTGCGTGTCTGATCCATGCCGCAAGCAAGTCCCGCAAGTACATGTAGTCTACAGCAGTAGACTAGTGTAGTTCTAAAACGTGATTTGTCGCTACCGCTTGCGGACGATGGGGTGGAGTCTGCGGTTTCCTCACATACATGCGTAGCTATGTACTACTTCTGTAGGCCAACTTTTAAAGCTCCATTTCTCCACACCCAAGGGGGTGCGGAAACAACCGGAGAATCCTGCGGAAAGCTCTTGACGACAAACCCTTTTTTTTTGTGTTGGCACAATCCTGGCTTTGGAGCAATCGAGCTTTGACAATCGGGGCGTTGCCATCAACCCCGCTTACGAGATTCACGCACGTTGCATGTTGCATGCAGACGCAGTGTCGCTCAAATGGTCAATGCTTTTCCGGGCTTGGCATGCGGCATGAACCATCAACAACCAGTTAGCATCCCTCATGCAAAGTATGCGTGAAGGCCGACATGCTCTTGTGCTCACGCTTGCACCCCGTCGCGCACACAGTCTTGGGTAAATATTTTGGCTTCCTCCTGAGAGCGGAATGCATCAAGCGGGGAGAGAGCTACTGCTGTAAAGTATTTATTTCAGTACGTAGACTGAAGCTGCATTCAAGTCTAGACTACTGCTGTAGATTACAATTCGCTCACGATTGCACCCCGTCGCGCACACAACCTTGGGTAAATATTTTGGCTGCCTCCTAAATGCGGAGTGCATCAAGCCGGGAGAGAGCTAGACTACTGCTGTAGACTACAATTCGCTCACGCTTGCACCCCGTCGCGCACACAACCTTGGGTAAATATTTTGGCTGCCTCCTAAATGCGGAGTGCATCAAGCCGGGAGAGAGCTAGACTACTGCTGTAGACTACAATTCGCTCACGCTTGCACCCCGTCGCGCACACAACCTTGGGTAAATATTTTGGCTGCCTCCTAAATGCGGAGTGCATCAAGCCGGGAGAGAGCTAGACTACTGCTGTAGACTACAATTCGCTCACGCTTGCACCCCGTCGCGCACACAACCTTGGGTAAATATTTTGGCTGCCTCCTAAATGCGGAGTGCATCAAGCGGGGAGAGAGCTACTGCTGTAGACTATTCGCTCACGGTTGCACCCCATCGCGCACACATCCTTTTGTAAATGTTTTGGCTGCCTCCAGGATGCGGAGTGCATCAAGCGGGGTGAGAGCTCCTGCTGTATGTTCAGTATTTAGACTACAGCTGCATACAGCAGGATATTCTAGTCCACATGTACACTCAACAGCAGTTACAAGTAAACTGTCGACTGAATGTAGACCAGACTCTCATCAGACTGAGAAAACGTTGAACACAACCGATCGAAGAACACCTCAGAAATCCCGGCCTCCCGACCTGAACAAGCAACAGATCGCGACTGGATTACTGCTGTATATGTTGGCGATCCTGTAGTCTCCACCACTCTTGGGAGAGGCTGAGGTTGCCATCTATTCAAGTCCCTCAGGTTGTCACACCAAATCAAGTCTAGGCGACAATATAATGCACAGCGCTGCGCTATTGTACGTACATCCTTGTCAAGAGCTTCGCTTACTGTGTAGCTTCGTACACTCCCTCAATCTGGAAACGTTTTCGAAGGGATCTCGACAACTCACCTATCCCCGGTTACGACACGTTACAGAAAAACGCTTTAGTCAAGCTCCCCATCGTCCCTCACCAGAACAGTCTGCCGATCTGTCCACCCTCAACTCAAGGTTTTTACGCCGGGTACGTGGCGAGTGCTTTCACCTTCGGCCGATTCTTGAGCGGCTACGCTTGGGGGCACGTTACAGATTCTGCCGGGAGGAAGCCAGTCATCGTCCTCGGGTTGATGTCAATAATAATCTTTTCGTTGACTTTCGGGCTGTCCACTTCCTACGCCTGGGCCGTTTCCTCTAGGTGCGTTGTCGCAGCACGTTTCTCGACTGAATGACTGACTGACGGACCGATTCCTGTGTTCGCTCTCGTCAATACCATTGGCTGTCAAATGTATTGTCATGTAGGCGTAGAAGGTTGCTCGAGACGGCATGCATGACTGTGCGCTGCTTGCGAATGCCAAAAGCGATACAAGAAGTCGTAGTGTTATTCATTCGGCGTATATTGTGGGTCGTGCTCGAACCTATTGATTAGTATACCATCATTGTTTTTAAGCGGACGCTTGTTGATCGCGATAATGCGTGTGGCACGTGAAATTCATCCATCACGCATAGAGCTCCAAGAGCTTGGCTAGCAAGATGTACGGATCACATCAGGAGCGCAGGTTTACCCATACTAAAGTTGCGGAGGTTATTTTTCGTGTGACGCACGTTTCGGCAAGTGGGAACCACATCTGATACTGACCTAGACGTTGTGCTTGATCGTGCATGCCTCGCGGGAATTCTTGGCATCTCCGTCATTCAGGTTGATTCTCGGGCTGACCAACGGCATCATGGCCGCCCTCCGGGTTTCACTGAACGAGGTCTGCGGGCCGAAGCATGTATTGGTGGGGATGAACTACCTCAACAGTGAGTGATTGTCTCTAGCACGTGAATGGCTGTGCAAAAGATTGCTCACTACATAAGGTACTGTGTGCTGCTGGAAACTACTTTCCTTGGGACAGCTCGATCACACGGCGACCCTTGCATTTGCATTACTGTACCCCTCATCCACATCTTCAAGTGTTGTCAAATGCAAGTCGCCACACTTAGTGCCGTGATGTTCTCGTACGTCCTTTCCTTGCTGCCGACCTTTGCGCAGGTTGTAGGGCCATTAGCATGGTTGTGGGCACAGGAGTCGGGGGAGTTCTGGCTCAGCCTGCGGTTCACTATCCCAGCCTATTTTCGGCTACGGGCCTTTTCGGCAGGTTGGTGTTTTTTATTGGCAAAGTCCCGCGTGCCTTGGTTCCATCGGTAGGGATCTTGTGTCAATTTTTTGGATACTCTCTGTTTGTATACGTCGAAATTCGCGTGTGTTGTATGCAGCCAATGCAGTGAAGAGGTCATTGGGCGGGTTCCGCTGAACAGTAGGTCTATTCCCACGTCCGACATGAGACGGGCGGCATCTACGGATACTTGACGCACACCTGGTCTAGGGGCGGTAGAAGGATTGTATTGAAGAAACACTGGGTGTGAAGCAATGGCGTTCGTCAACGCAAAAGGTTCTGTGCATACAGCGATGGGTGACGAGTCGTGAACAGAGCCGGGCGTGCGCCGGGCGCGAGCGACGAGTTTTAGATGGCATCAAACGGTAGCCCCGAAGCTCTAACATAGCTCCATACCAAGCACCGTTTTGCTTCTCTCGGTCCTGTTTTGCCCACCTGTCTACGCTTTCTCTCGAGAATACCTTCAAGGCGTTGGGGTTCTGGGTCATTTTTGTAGATGGGCGAAGAATCCGAAACGCCGCCGCCTGCGCTTGATGTTCTTTCCTCGCTCAAGGTATCCGTTCCTGCTGCCAAACCTCGTGGGAGCGTCTTGCGCGCTCGTTATCATGGTCCTTGTGATAATTTACCTCCCGGAGACGAAGGATTACGCGACCATCGCGGCACAACGTGCTTTTCTGCAGCAGCAGCAGCAGCAGCCGCAGCAAGCGCAGCAGCAGCATACCAGGTGCCGTTCCCCTTTCAACATCTTTTAGTGTTTGACGCCATACATTTGGTTGCTGCGCTTCGTGGTTCGTCCAGACGAAGAATCGTTTTCTTGACAAGCCCGCAAAAACGTCTCCAGTTTGCCTTGGAAACGCTTCCCAGTATAAAATTCCGGAGCGCTGTAGGTTTGTCTTGTGTTGCTCGCACAGAGCGTACTACCAACAGGTTGACTTCATTGAACATCGGGACATCATCGTTCCCGAGGTACGGTCATCGGCATGGGGGGGGCGCAGTGGAAAGTTTGCCGAAGTACCCATCCTGAAAGTGTGTTGTTTGGGAACGTCCTACGCCGCTACGCCTTTGCCGCAACCTTTTCCCTTGCGGCAAGGTTACCCGAAACCACCAGTTTGATTGGAATTGTGCCGTTCCTCGGGTCACCTGGCGTAACATAAGGTGTTCGTCTGGGATGTCTCTGAGTTGTTTCAAGAAAATAGTTTCTCTCCAGTCAACAACAGCAGAAGTGCTCAATTTTGGTTTCATCGGCTCCATTCCAGCTTCGTTCGTTCGCGACCTACTCCATGCGCCCCTGTGTGTGTCTCCAGCGACGGCGTCAGTAACGGCTGCAGCGAGGCCATGGCGAACGGAGCTGATAACAACCGCGCCAGTCGTGACGAGCCACCACCCAGCAGCCCTACCGGCGCGTCCGACGTCGACGACAAAGGGGAGGAAGAAGAGATTGGGATATTCGGTCGTCACGGACTTCTGGCCACCCCGCACGTCAAGACTCTTCTCACCCTTGGATGTGTGGTGATGGTAAGGCCGCGAATGCACAAACCTATTTCGGCGCACCAATCAACAGCACCGCCGGCAGCGATTGTTGACAAGTACGTCAGGCTCGCTACCTATTGTCCAAACTTACCGTTGGTGAAAAAATATCGATTATCACTGAACATCGCACGTTGTCGATGTCGTTGTCGTCGTCAGGGCGTAGTATGAAGTGCTGTCCACTATTCACGACTGGCCCTTGGACGACATCTCTTGTCTCTCCCTCGAAGGAGGTGTCAGGCAGAGTAGCGGTCAGATATGGTGCGGCCGTGGAGCTTACATTGGCGTCGACCTTATGTTTTCGTTTCGTTCTGAGCTCTTGGGGGTGCCGCGTTCGAGACACTTCCTGGCTGCGACCCCCCGTTTAGTCTGGTTTATTATGAAAACGCGTACGTGCTGTGCTTCATCCAGGCCATGTGGGGATGCCTGGAACAGAAAGCAGCATGGGGCGCCGGTGCATGATATGGAATCCAGCGATCGCGGACCCCTACTCGTATGCATAGGTGGCTCGAGAATGTCCTGTTTCACTAGTGTACATTCCCCCGTTGCCCTAACCACCACGTCCTCCGTCATGTGGCAACTTACTCGAAACAGGCTCTGCAGATCGGCTTTGACGAAGCGTATCCTCTTTTCGCGCTCAGTACTCCTGACGTGGGAGGACTTGGCTGGAACACCTTGCAGATCGGGAAGGTAAGGCTCTTTGTCGCTTGCCCATTTGTGGAGTGGGTGGAACACGATCCGGCAACACAGGATATATGGCGCTGTTTTATCGCTTGAGGTGGAATCCTTCAGGGAAATCGACCCGCACACGTGTGTTGTACATCATTCGTGCCGATTTTTCGGGCAAATGACCCTCTGCCCGCTTGAGATACCGCCGTCCGCTTGTGTGTCAACTATTCCATCGCCGGCGTACACTCAGGTCTTGGTCATGACAGGCCTCTTCATGGCCTGCTTCCAGCTGCTACTTCTCCCACCCTTAATCAAGGTGGTGGGTATCACAAAATGGCAGCGCGTCGGATTCTGTGTGGGAGCGCTTGCATTCATCGCCATCCCTTCAGTGAGGTCACTCAGCTGGAACTACCCCTCCCTCTTCTCGGCATCGGTGGCGGTCAACACTTTCGCCTCGTGCGGTCTAGCTGCGGTCAGTGAATGAGAGCGTGAGGGAGAGCGGAAGGACCTTACTCTCTCCGCATTATTTCACCGTCGTCACGTTTTGATGTACTGGAGTCTCATTCAATTCCGCTATGTGTTCTTGATCATTCACATGTGCTGACGGGTGCCATCATCAACAGACTGATTCAGGCAAAGGATGCGAAACCCAAGCCAGATCACACCCACCACACAGCAAGTCAAAGCAACATCGATGACCCGATCCGTAGAATTCGTCGACTGTGCCCTTCCACCCTGCCCACATCCCTCCAATCTAAACCGTCCGCGACGAACTCACAACACGACGTATTCTTGAAGCGCGTTAGTGACACCGCCAGTCATTGCGCTTTCTGAGGTTGCCCTCATCTACATGAGAACAAGATTGTGCATCGAGCGACATCAAGCGGTACAGTTGCGGGTCCAAACCATCTACTCCGACCCCACACGCAAACGCAAACAGGTAGCCTTGACGATGTCGGTTGGGTCGACCACGCTTGTCCCTTCAAGGATGCGCGGGAAGCTAGGCGGGCTCTACAACATGGCTGAGAGCCTGGGCCGATTTTTGGGGCCGGCGGGGTTCGCCATCTCGTATGCATGGTCGGTTTCCCCTTCCAGCTCTGCTGCAGGTGTCGATTGGGTGAATTTCCGCTTTGTGTTCTGGGCATCGGCGGTGCTCCTGGCTATGTGTGCGGTGCTAGCATGGTCGACGCTAACTGCCGAGAATCTGATGCAGGGAGAAGTTGAGGACGCTGTCAGCGCTTCGATTACTCCTCAATCTTCAGGTTCTTCGCCGCGACTTGGACTTGGAACGGGTTTTTTCCGCAATAAGAATGAGCAGCCTGACGCTGGCCTCCACATGGAAGACTCTTTGTTGCCAAGAGTAGAAATAGTGAAACGAGAGACGGACATGGTTTGAGCCAGCCAAAGTATTTTTAGACCGAGGTTTGCGCACGGGCGTGTTCAGAACGGACAGTACCGAAATATTGATTAGATGCGTGTTGAGCGATTGCTCGTATTCAACAGGAGGCAGTGCGCAGTGGCACCAGATTTGCTTTACATGTTCATGCCGCTTGATCGGGCTTTCCATGATAGATGGCTTGGCCATGGTGAATCATTAAACAATTTTCGATGGGTTCGTTGATTTTTTCGGAACCTTAGGATCTGCATCTGTGGTTGGGTATGAGTGAATCGCACTTGGTTCTGTAGGCAAATCGTGAGTGCACTTGAGGCAAGCACCGCTTCTGATCCTTTTCACGTTGCACGCGAGGGAAAGAACCATTGCAGTATCTCGAAAGTAGTCTACACTCGTTCATGCCGTGGGCGATATCGGCGATCGAGTTTGTACGCTATTCATGCAGTTGGTCTAACACCATGATGAGGCAAACACCGCCGTACTGGCATACGCCTCTCGGTGGGTGGTGATGATGGTTCTCCTTCGTCGATCCGGGGCCTTTCAGGGCGTTTTGCCGCATCAAAGCAGTAGCATTCACAGTAATGCCCTAATTCCCGAGGACAGTACGATCAGGCAAAAGCTTGCATCAATACGTCACCTCTAAGCCAATCATCGGGTGGACGCGCAAGACCAAGAACACCACAAGAGGCAAAACAGAGTGGGAGTGTCAATGTGATGTGTAGCACCGTACCGAAAGATGATGCAGAACTGTGTACCCACCGGAATGCTTTAGAACGTTTGATGAACGCTGGATAGAATGCGTGGAGCAATAATGTACTATGTCATTTCTTGGGCTCTCCTCCTGAAGTACGTAGAGCAGTTTGTATTCAACATGTACTCACGAAGTAGCGTGTTTGCTTTGTGTGGCGCGCCCGTGGTGTACAAGCGCACAACGATCGAAGACCCTTGCGATACTTGGGCATGATTTCAATGACAAAATGCACCTCCCCATGGGCGCGACACAGACGCGGAGGCCCTGTGGACCATGCTCTACGCTGACTACGCGGCCATCGTCTCGCGCTCGCCGGAGAGTCTCGAGAAGATGATGTAGGTCATCGTGCGCGTGGCCGGCTTGTTTGGCCTGATGGTGTAGGAGCCAAAGACGGAGATCATGTGCATGCTGCCGAAAGGGATCGAGGAACGCCCGTTCACGGTCAGCGCCGCCGGCCAGACGTACAAGCGGACAAATCAGTTTGTGTACCTCGGACTTACCATCTGCGCGGACGGGAAGGCCGCAGTGCTACCGCAGGAACAGTGCTTCGATGTACGACAGGCGACGGGCCGACCGCCAGCTCAAGATCCGGCTACTCCAGGCTGAAGCAGTGGTGGAGACTCTCCTATCCCAGACTAATACGGGTGCGCCTCGTGGAGCCTAGCAGCGGAGCACTACACGAAGCTCAATGGGACCCACGGCCGGTTCCTGCCACGGTGCATCGGCTGGAGCAAGCGGAAACGCTCAATCCGCCCCCTGTCCTATGCCCAGGCCCTCATCCAGGCCGGCTGCGAGGAAACCATCGAGGTCACCGTGCGCAAACGGAGACTGAGTTTCGCGGGCTGTGTTATTCGCATGGAGGACAGCCGCCTCCCCAAGCGCATGCTGCTAGGAGCGATGGCGGGGGGCGTTGGATACCGGGGCGGGCAGGAGAGCGACTGGGTGTCTCGTCTAGGAGAGGACCTCGTGGCCTTCAACATGGGAGACGAAAAGGAAGGGGGGAAATGGAAAGAGAGCGCCAAGAACTCGGAGGTGTGGTACAACAAGGTCGAGGACGGGGCGGCATGGTTCATGAGGAAATGGCACAGGCAGGAGGCTGAAGCGTCCGCGAAGCGCCAGCGCGCGAGGGAAGCAGAAGCAGAGAGTACGACCNCGAGGACGGGGCGGCATGAGTCATGAGGAAATAGCATAGACAGGAGGCGGAAGGAAGCGTCCGCGAAGCGCCAGCGCGCGAGGGAAGCAGAAGCAGAAAGTACGACCATCTCAGGACCGAAGAGAAAGAGAACCGGGGAAGCGGCGGTGGGGGGGAAGAAACGGCGACGGGGCACTGCTGTAGAAGCGAGTAGGGTGGCCGAGGCAGCAATTGAGGCGACCTTTTTTTTTTCCTCTCATCATTGGACTCTGTGGTCTGCCCCTCTGGCCCCTATCCTCCACTTCTACTAGCTAGACGACCCAACCGGGGTCACATTGGCGTGGGGGCTAGACCCCCTCCTGCGGTTCCTGCCTGAGGTATTTTTATCGCGAGAAGGGTACAGCAATCCCTTCCCTCGCGACTTACGAAGTCGATTATGGTTTACTAACTAACAACGACCTTTCTTTGCAGCGCGTTGCTTTCATCCTAGACCAGGACTTATTTTGTGAGAAAAAAACTCACTCTGTCGGGACTCGAACCCAAACCTGACCCTTAGCAGGCTGCGAGGTTGCCGACTAGACCACCGGGGCGATGCACCCGGCTGGTGTTGTTGTGTCCTGCTTCCCTCCCTCCTGTATTCCATACTCCTGTATGTACGTCATTTGTATTGCTTTCAGCCTCTGTGCTGAGTTTCTTTTCATGTCCTCCCTGCCTAGGGGGCCTTCCGGCGTATGCCGAAGAGAGGTTGAGATTGGAGGTGTTGCCAAACCGCCTAAGCTCTGAACAGTCAACTGTAGGTTGCTCTGGGTGTGTACATGCGATATCCGGTCTCAGATTTTTTGTCCGGGATCGGGAAGGTGGGTTTTCAGCGAAATTTGGTGATTTATCTTACTCGAGGTATAGGAAAAAGCGAAGCAGGGGACACGAAATTTCCGTCCCCCACCCCCCCCGGTGTTTGCCATCGGGGTTGGGTTTCCGTCGCTTGGCAACGACGTTGTAAAACAAGCCGCCCCCCCCGGTGTTTGCCATCGGGGTTGGGTTTTCGTCGCTTGGCAACGACGATGTGAAACAACCCAAATCACTTCGTTAACTCGGCAACCAGGTTACCGTTTTGTGGTAACTCATTCTGTTTTTTTTTTTGGCGGTAACCATAATGGTGGTCGAGTAGATCATGTTGTGCGGGGTGGAAAACCCTCAATCCGCGCAAGGGGGATGATCGCACCACGTTGTGTTGAATAGGTCAAGCACCCTCGAGGCAGTTACAAAATGCTTACAACTGTCTCAGGAAGTAAAAGCACCAGAAAATAAATTAAGTCATACGCAGCTGTCATCCGTACGCAAGGAAGTAAGCACAAG